ACCCACCTAGTGGCTCCATTCTCAGGTCAAAAGGCTACCATTGTTTGTACTACAGGGACACAAGCAGACCAGCCATTCTGCAAGGCCTGAACTGGCCACCTTGGAGGTTACAGCGTGGCTCATGAATTCCTGTATTTGCCTGACTTTCCAGTACCCCTACTAGAAAGAGATTTTCTAAGAAAACTAGGGGACTGTTGATAGCAGGAGGAAAGACAATCAAAAATAAGGAGAAAATACTCCAGCTCCTTGAAGCAGTATGGGAGCCCACCCAAGTGGCTATTCCCCAGATGGATGGTGGGAGCTCCCAGAACACAGATTGATGGGTCCTCAATGGATAGCCCACCATCTAGTCCTGGAATATCATGAACTGACACACTGGGGAAAAAATAGCTCTAGAAACCATGCTGAGTCACTACTACTTCATCCCCAAACTGTACTCTCTTTGTGCCCATGTCAGCTCATGATGCCTGACCTGCATCCAAAACAATGCCAAGCAAGGACCCCAGCCAGTCCCCAGAGTCCAGCCAGTCAGGACATCACCTTTCGCGGAGCTGGTAGTGGATTTACTAAAGTCCTGCAGAGGCTATAAGTACTTGCTGGTGATGATATGTACCTTCACTGGATGGACTGAGGCATTACCCACATGGTCTGAACAAACCCAAGAGGTCACAAATGCCCTTTTAAGGGAAGTGGTCCCAAGATACAGGCTCCCTCTGACTATAGAGTCAGACAATGGGCCAGCATTTGTTGCAGAGGTCATTCAAGGATAGGCCAAAATGCTGGGGATAAGATAAAAGCTCCATACCGCACATAGGCCACAGAGTTCAGGGAAAGCAGAGCACATGAACCGGACCCTAAAGACCACATTAGCCAAGCTCTGCCAGGAGACAGTGCTACCCTGGATAGATATTCTTGCCTTTGCTTTGCTACAGGTCCACTGTGTGATGGGACCATGAGGATATTCCCCTTTTGAGATTATGTATGGAAGACCACCCCACTTATAGTTAGACTGCAGGGGGACCCTCACCAGCTGGGGGAGGTAGAGATGTCACAGTACTTGCATTCACTCACCAGGACCTTCAAGCAGATAGCTAAGACAATTTTGTAATGAGCTCCCATTCCTTTAGGAAGTTGGGCATATCAGTTCTAACCTGGTGACACAGTATGGGTAAAAGACTGGAAAAAGGTTCCTTTAAAGCCAGCCTGGATGGGGCTGCACATAATTGTACTAAGCACCCCTACTGCAGTTAAGGTTGCAGGTCTGACTCCCTGGACCCCCCATATGCAGGTGAAACAGGCAGCCTCCCTAGATGATGCCACCTCATGATCTGTGAAGGCTGACCCCTCTGACCCACTCATGGACTGGCTCCAGAGGTATTCTGCAAACCATCATTGTCCTGCTTTGGTTACACCAGAAGCTGACCAATACACGCACA